AGAAGAATGAAAATAATCATTTTTGTATAATTTCTTACTGCCAGATCCTCCTGATCGTTGTCCATTATTTTCATTATTATTACGATCATCAAAACCAGCACGACCTAGTTGAGAAACAAAATCAAGTTTGTATCTTAATAATTTTATTATTTTACAACTTACCTCCTCGATCAGCAAATCTGCTACCACCACCACCACGACCTTTAAAATAAAAAAAAGAGAATAATAAAAGGTTATGCAAATGAATATAGTTTTAGACGAGCTAATATTTTCTTTATGTATAATTATCTTCCTATGAAAGACAATCTTGTAATATTTATTATCGCCTGTGGAGAAAGGAAAATAATGAATATAAGTTTCTACCCCTATTCAATATAATATTTCTTTTAGATCATATTTCACAATTAAACTAAGATACTAGTTTTACGAAGTAGTTGCATAATTCGTCGATTCTGATATTTGTCATAGAGATTCTTTTCATATATCAGTTAGGAATAGAAAACTTCAATGGTTTATTTCGTATTTCTTACTGGCAAAATTTGTTGAACGTTGTCCACCATTTTCATTTTCATTGTCATCATTATTTCGACTGAAAGTTCGACCTTGAAAACCATTTCGATCTAATTCAAAAAACATTTTTATTATTTTATTAAGAAAAAATAAATGAAATTTTTACTTCCTCGATCAGCAAAACCACCTCCACGATTATTTCCACTTCTTGGTTCATCATTAGAAAAACCTTCATTTCGATTACGTTGTTCATCATTATTAAATTCTCGACCTTATATTTCAAAAAAAGAAAACAACTTGAATATTTATTCTTAAATTTCTTTACCATATGGACGATTTTGTTCAGTTGGTGTTTGTTGATTTTCATTTGTTCCTCTTAATATCGGCTCCTCTTGTTGTTGTGGTCGTGAAAAACGTGTTGATGGTTCACTTGCAGTAGGTTGATTTACTGCAAATCGACCTGGTTGTGCACGTGTTCCTCCTGTTAATAATTTTTGTGGTGCACGTAAATCATCATTTGTTCGTTGTACATTCATATCCTGTTGAACTTTTGTATTATGTATTCTAAATAAATTTATTCTCTCAATGCAAAAAAAGAATATTCGAAATAAATATCTTACTCAAGTGATTGAATTGCCTGTGCAACCTAAAATAAAACAAAAGATTTTTATTTGTTTAAAAGAAAAAATGATTAATTATACCACTGGAATAGTATCATTTGAAAGAAGAACTTGATTAACTAATAAATCAGATACTTTAACTTCAACAGGATAAAATCCATTTATTGCAGCTCCTTGCAGAGTAATTTGAACCACTTGCTTAAGAATCATTTTTTTAAATTTACGTGTGATAGTAGCTGTACTAGACTAATATAAAAGAAAAATCATTTTATTTTATTTTAAATAGAAAATCTTTCTTACAGATTCATCATAATTATGTAAACGAAATGATTGTGCAAATGCTGGTATGGTTAAATATCTTTTATCAAGTTGTAATAATTCTGATGTGTCTACAATAATTTCATCACCACGATCAACAAGTCTAACTAATACTCTTGATTCTGATTCACGATGTCTAAATGAAAAGAAAAAGATTTTTTTCTTTTAAAGTCATTAAAAAATAAGAAATTTACTTGATTATAGCACGATGATAGAAATCACCTTGTTGAATTACACATGCTCCACCATCGAATAAGAGACTAACACTTATTGATTGATCGTTTACATTATTATTATTATACACATCTTCAAAATGTTTTTGAAGTGAATCTAATTCCTTTGTACGCTGTTGAGAATAACCATAGAATTCAAGAGCACTATATACGTGAGTGATGATAAAATTTCCATTCTCTAAATTAATTTTAAATCGAGATTTTCAATTTATGAATTTTTTTAATAATGAATACATACGAGGTGGAAATGGAGGACGAATCTCAGCTGATGAATCCATGGATGACCTTAATAAATTAAATTAGATTAAACATTTAATAGCTCGATATTAATCTTCTCATAAATATTCTATTAATTTTTACAATTATACATTCATACTGTTATAATGAATTTCAAGTACAATTTATAACACTATTGATGTGTGAAATAATAAAACTAAGAAAGTATCTATAAACAAACAGAATTTAGAATAATGACTCGTGCTACAGTGCAATCAATGGTTACATTTTTGAGTAAAAATGTATGAAATTTCTCTACATTTCATATCACTACGTGACTGAGCTCATTAGAATTATGATTGATATAGAAATTGAAAATTATTAAATCCGAAAACAATCAAATCAATTGTAACTCGATTAATGCAATATCGTAATAAAAATTATTTCAAAGATATCAATAGTATCCTAAGTATAGACATAGAATAGATTACTCGTAAGTATTTTGAGTTATTAATAGTCCAAGTCAACAAGACTTCAACTTTATTTTTCTGTTCTTACGTTGTACTAGAAGCTTGTTGAACAACCGGTTTTTGTACTACATGAGTTTGAGGTTGTTGAGCTGTACTAGTTGAATTAGTATAATAATCATTTTGTGGTGTCAATCGTTGCGATGGCTGTTGGACTGATGAAGGTAAACCTGAAAATCCAGGTGGTGCTCGTCCAAATGATCGTTGCGGTTGATTTGCATTATAATTTGTTGGTTGAGATGTTTGCATGTTTATACGAGATGCAAGATTTTTCTGAAAAAGAAATGTTCCAAGATCTCCCACTTCTAAAAAGAGAAAAAGATATGTATATACATCGATTAATATGTATATTTTTCTTTTGAATCTGTATAGAGGTCACATGGATAAACTAATCGTTTACTATTCGAAAGAAAAGAATAAATTGAATTCAAGAATAGATAAAGAAAAAGAGATTAATCACGTTACGACGTTGTTACCCAGAATTTAATATAAATAAACCAGAGAAGCGAAGCACTGGATAAAGATAAATAGATGACGCTGATAATCGAATTTTTATCATTTTCTTTAGTTTAGATTATATTTAAACTACAAAAGATATTACACACGATAAAGGCATATTAGAACTTATTCTGCATGTCTTTTAATCATTCATACAGAGACTTCAACGGTTTAGTTGAATAGTAACGATCATCGCTGTATCATATAAACAAAGAATATCATGAATTGTCGTTATTCACTTAGTTTATCATTTAGTATCAAAAAATATCAGTTATCTATCGTTGAGATTCGAAAATTTTTTTTTCATATTGTTTCTTCGCAATGATTACTCTCTCATAGACAATAGTCTAATAAATATTTTATTGATTATTATAATAACTTAATTAATGATCATCGAGTTAACAGATACCGATCTGAATACTGTAACTAAAATTTTAACTAACGAAGAACGCCACATTTTAACATGTAATATTTTAAATTGTTGATTGTTCTTCATACTAACGGAAAATTTATTTCAAATTATGCGTAATTGTCTTTACTAATGAATACTCATACATCTGATGAGTAAAATATTTCTCTCTTTATTATGAACACTTTTTATGCAGTCCTTTTTCCAGAGGTGAAGAATTTTCGTCATATGTCCCCACGCGAAGGAGGAAATTTTTAGTTTTTGGGAAGATTCTGCACCTCTACCTCTTTCTTATTCTAAAGCCTTCTATTATTCATCTATAATAATCCAAATTTAATTCGAGATTAGCTTCTTCGTTTTACAGCCAAGTTTATATCAGTCATCTAGATTACACATCTTGATTAAAGTTTTATACTTACTAGGAATATCAACTTGAATAATATAACAAATTTGTTCTTTAATGTCAAGGACTTTACAATGCATAACATCGCTCATAAGTGATTTACATTCATAATGTACAGGATCATCTAAATTCCATGTTGAATGTTCATTTCCATTTAATGGACATATGTCATATAAACGACATGGAATGGCAAATGCTGGTTGACGAGTAAATTCTTGTGGTAATAGACGGATATTTGTCAATGCAATAGTTTGTTGTTCACCAAAATCAACAAAATATACGCAAACTTCTTTTAAATTAAAATTTAAATCTTGATAAAAAATAAATAAAAATCTAATTTAGATGTAAAAGAAAGAAAATAATTAAGATTAAATCTACCTAATATAGTTGCACGATGCCATACAGCATGATTATCTTGTGCAGCAACTGCTTGATCACGTTGATATTGTTGTGTAGGTATTGATATTGATTGATAATTTTGCATAGCACGTTGTAATTCTATTTGAAACTATAAATTAAAAAAAATAAAATTAAGTAAAATATCGTATATTATTATTATTATTACTTTTGCATGACTATCTAATTTTTGACGAAGATAAACATAGAAACGACTTGGAGTTTGATAACATAGAATTTTAACTAGATTTAATTCTATAAAGTCCAATTTTTCCATTGGTATAGCTAAAATTAAAATGAATTTAATAAATATTTTTTGAAAAAATGAATTTTATAATAAAATACATTTATGAATAGGCATATCATTATTTTGTAATGATAAATGCTGCAATTGACAACGTTCAGTCATGACAAAATAATTCTTGAATTGTTTTATCGCAACCGTCAACTAATAACTAAATCTAAAAAAATTTAAATCATTTTTTATTAATCAATAATGTAGTTAAATTCAATAGGAATTTTTTTTATTATTAAAAATTGTAAAATAAAAATAAGAAATAGGTTTTCTTTTTGTTTATTTGTAGAAATTGTGTGATAGATCAACTTGCATAATTGAGTCATAGATAAACGTAGGCAAGTTAAACACGTGTATTTTACAAAAGGAAAAAAAACAGCACGGTTGGGAGAGAAGAAGAAAAAGAAATGTGTATAACCATTATTGAATCAGAATATATTAAGAGCGCCACAGTCAGTATGATTAAGAAACATTTCATCGTATCAAAGTTTATATTGAAAGTCTAGTATACATGAACACGACTCTTGATACGTAAAATACATATACTTTTTATACGAGATGATTTTTATCCATAATTATTCTTTTAAACTTTTGATATGTTCTTCAAATATTTGAAGACTTGGATGATTCTCAGATGATGAATGTTGCATAATATTTAAAGCACGTTCAAAAAATATAAGTGCATTTATATGATCTCCCATTTGTTGATATACTAAGCCAATATTATAATAAGAATCAGCAAATTCAAAATCATCTGGAGAGAGAGTATGTGTTGATATATCTTTAATACTTTTTCAAAAGATACAATTGCATTCGAATTATCACGTATCTCAAGATACATCAAACCGATATTTTTAAAGGAGAAAGCTAAATCAGAATGAATCGATGGTAGATTTTTTTGCTGAATTTCAAGTACTTTTTCATATGATGAAAGTGCTTTTGAGTAATCGCCTAGACAACGAAAGATTGAACTAATGTTACTATAAGTAATAGCTAAGTCGGAATGATTTTCAGGTAGAATTTTCTGTTGAATGTTAAGTGCTTTTTCATGATATAAGAGTGCTTTGGAATATTCACCCATATAAGAATATGCCAAACCGATATTATTACAAGATTCAACTATCTCGATATAATCTGATAAGAATATTTTCTGTCGAATTTCATACGCTTTCATATGAAATGAAAGAGCTGTCGAATATTTTTCCATATAACCATATACCAATGCAATATTATTGTAAAGAATAATAAAACTAGGATGATTTCGTGGAAGCGTTTTTCTATAGATTTTCATTGCTTTTTCGTAACATAGAAGTGCTTTTGAATGATTATTCATTATTTGACAAATTGTATCAATACTAATGTATGTATCAGCTAGATTCGAATGATTTGAATGTCGGATCTTTTGATAGATTTCTATTGCTTTTTCATGAGATGATAATGCTGTTGAATACTCATTCATACTACAATACACTGACCCAATATTATCGTAAGCAATAGCAAGACCAAGATGATTTTAATAATGAGCTTTTTGATAAATTTCTATGACTTTTTCATAGTATAACAGTGCTTTTGACTATTCACTTATTTCTTCATACACCGAACCGATATTATTGTATGAAGTAATAAACTGAAGATGATTGGGAGAAAGTGTATTCTGTTTGATTTCAAGTACTTTTAAAAGAGATAGAAGTGCTTCAGAATAGTTGCCTATTTTGCAATACATTGAACCAATATTATCATATGCGTTAGCTAAATATGGATGATTTTCTGGTAAAACTTTGTAATATATTTCAAAGGCTTTTTTTGTGAAATACAATTGCTTTGGAATATGATTTTATGATTGATTAATTGTTAGCCAATGAAAATTTTCCTCTTTTCGTGCTAGCTCGTCGTTTTCGCGTTAATTTCATATCGATACCTTTTCCTTTATTATACATAAGTAATTTTTTCATTAAAAAGAAACAGTATTCATGGAGCCCTCATTATCCAAAACATCAAATGACGTTACATTGGGAGCGGCTTCATCAAAACAAGAACCCAGGGCAAAGACAACGGCGATGTAAACGACCTTAAATGTGGCAAACCGGTAAAATACGGCGAAAAACGGTCCTAAAACGTCGCCGCAATCCGTCGATCCAGAAATGTATAGAAACAAAGTGGAAAACGACGGCCGGTTTTTGTAGTGAAAAAACGGCCCGTATTCTGGGTTGACGGATTACGGTGAAATACGACTAAAAATAAGGCAGTAAAACGCCGTTTTAAAGTCGTTTTAGGCCGTTTAAGATGTCGTTTCCAATGGTGGGAATGACCGTCCTGGGAAGTACAGGATCAGGAACTAATCGTAAGATACACATTTCCAATTAATTACTTTTTTGCAAGTGTATGTTACATTTTAGATAAATAGTCTCGAAGAAAAACGGGAAATTTTAGAAAAACAATTTAACGAATTTCAAACAAATAAACAATCAAAAACAATTTCACGACGCAATGTTTTTTATTTTAGAAAACATATATCGTGATCTTGAAATTAAATCTATTACTCACAAACTGACATTTTTCTATTACTGCGTAGAATTAAAAAAAAAGTAAATTTATTTTCATAGAAAAAAAACTAAAAACAAATTTTTATTTATCGGTGTTACAGATAAAAGTGCTATAGAGAAATGAAGAAGAAAAAAGATCATCTTAAGGGTGTGGATGTGGGTGTAGAAAGGATAGAATAGCTACACACCCTTCCCCCCCCCCCCGACTATGCAAAAATATACCAGAATATGCAATAAAATGGAAACAACGGATCGACATTCAAAAATCGGTCGTACAAATCTTCTACTCGCAAATAGAACGCTTAGGGATGAAGATCTACATGGAGGGACAAGCGCTAGGGATCGTTGATAAATTTAAGTACTTAGGGTTTACTTGGATCGGCAAAATGTCACTGAAATCCACAGTCAATCGATGTCTATCGAAAGTTGACAAAGCGCTCGGAAAGTTGATTGTAAGATACAACTTTTCCAATTAATTACTTTTTGTAATTATATGCTATATTTTAGATTCCATATTTAGAAAACGAACGTGAAGAAAAAGAAAAAGCATCCAGTCATTTTGAAGAAAAAAAGAACATAACAAATTTTGGTGATAAAATTTTATATAATTTAAAACACATATCGTGATCAAGAAATTAAAAGCATTACTCACAAACTGACATTTTTCTACTACCGCGTAGAGTTAAAAAAAAGTAAATTTATTTTTCTAGAAAACAACGAAAAAAAAAATTTTTATTTACAGGAAGTTAAAAACATGTTTATTCAAAGAAAAGAGCCATATTTATATCTAACATCGTGAATATAAACTTTTTGTTTTTACTTCATCAATAAATAAAGTCTAAAGAAAAATGGTCAAGTGACTCTTATTGTATGTACATCTAAATATATTATATAGAAATCTCGATTGAATAGAAAAGTTTTATGGTATGAAATGTTTTATATCAAATAATAGAAATGTTCAAACTTTGATCGAAACTAAAAATGCCACAAGTTGAAGGAAAAACTTCTGCATATTTCTTTTTTGCTAACAACATTCAATTTCCATACAAATTCAAAGCAATGTTTATTATAAAAAACGAAAATTGAAGAGAACCAAAGATTTTGATATACTAGCTTATTCACTAAATACAAATCATGGATAAGATAAGATCAGATCCTTAATAGGATATTACACAAAATATCTATTCAATGTTAGAATCTCATTGACTGTGTTTCCCTCTTTCAATGCATCGGAATACTAATAAAATGCAGCATTTCTCGCGCGTCTCTTCTTCATTTATGAAATTGATTAAGTGCTAATAACGACACCTTTATTCAATATCTTTCAAAATCACTCTATTTGTAGCATTTTTCGTTCTGCTTTTTTAGTCTTTCCCAATATTTCAACTTTGGAACCAAATTGAACTTCCCGATAAATAAGCAAAACTCAATATGAAGTTACAATATACACGAAATATTTTGCAAAGTATTCTTAATTTAATCTATTGAAAATAACATTTAGTTTTAACTTTCTTCTATATATATTACATCACCACAAAAAAATTAATGATAAACAAACATTGTTTTTAACAAAACTACATGAAATGTAAGTACAAAAAAAGAGTTGCATGTTGTAGCCAACGAATGACCAAAATAGAAATGATAAGCAAAGAAACCATGACATTCTCTAAGCTGCAGCGTTTGGTGCTTCGAATCGACGTATTGGTACCACTGGCTCAGACATACGTCGAGCATAAAACCATCTCTGAAAACAAACCAATGTCAATGTCGATTAAACACAATGAAAATACACCATGATTTACCTATTTTTACTGTTTTTCTGTAAAATGTTGCATTTTTTATTTTTATATAAAACGATACAGATTTTACTACTTCCGCGAGCTATAATAGTATTCATTTCATTTATTCCTTATCGTCACCAACAGTTTAGTAAATTTCTAAGCTCTCAAAAAATATATTTATGCATTTCCATTATTTTGTCTCAGACTATTTTAACTCATCGAAAAGACGAATCTTTCTGGCTCTTCCACATCTACAATAAATGTTGATTTTTCTATGTAATAACCTCATTGAAGTCTGATTTAGCCAAGCTCTTTTACTTATATCATACATTAACAAAATATCTTAAAACCTGATTCTAATGGCTGCAGCAAAAGTCTAAATAATTCAATTCAAAAATTAAAATTAACCGCTCTGCTTGTATACCAAACAGACGCTTTCATTCAAAAGTTTCTAAAAACATATTTTCCATAAATCTCTTGAATCTTCCCATGGAGGTGTTTGTGTTGCTACTTGAATTGATTTAACTCATTCCGGTAACAATGAAAAACCTCACCACCAAACTAACAAGCTTAGTGTAATAGCCCGTGCTGCTTTTCCTGAATAGATAAACCTGAATTTTAGGGTATTTACTGTATATATAAGATCTTCGCAATTGACCACTGTGATCGACTTAATGTATTTTTTATTGGTTTAAAAAAGCTCGTCGAGCTGTATTAGAAAAAGTGTGTTTCAGATTTTAACAGGTTTGAAAAGTTTTAGCAAAAAGTTCGCTTTACGATTACTGTCGAATACCAGACGAAATAAACGCGAAATCCAGATCTTCGTAAAACATTCTTTAAAATTCATTTTTATAATTCGTGACTTTTATGGAACTCTGCGATCTCGAATCTATTATTACAAAACAATACATTTCTTCGGCCGATATATTGCATATACCTAATGAATTCAACTGACAACACAAATACCTCCATATTCATATCACTTAGGAGGTAATCGACTTCTTGTTCGAACGAAATACTCTGGTAATACTGAATGAAATAGGTATCATTGCAAGATAATTCATTTTTGATGCTTTTAGAGCTACACTAACTACTCAGCCAAATTAAGAATTACATCGAATGAGGATTACGCAGTTCGATGAAGTAATAAACGTCTTAATCGACTGTGTAACAATATAAAAGTTGCTCAAGTTTCGCAAAAATCTAGTAACCTAGTAAGAATATCAAAATCATACTGTATACTTACCATCACAAGCGAAGTAAAATAAAAATTCGCAGCATTCCATTGTTTAGCTATTTCTTCAGCTTCCGGCCATGTTGGATGCTTGTTTATTACGTAACCTAGTTTAATCAATTTGATATTTAGAGAATAAAAATATAACATAGATACACTTACAATGACGTAAATATTGAACTTGTTCGCCATTTAGTTTCTTTTCCACTTCTGCTAACTCTAAATAAATTATAAGCGCCTTTCCGATTGTTCTCAAAATGTTAAAAATAATGCAAGTGAATTTTAAAGTCGATAAAACTGAATACAGTTTATATTTAACGTTCATTCTCATCATTATTAGATTCCCACAAAAAAATGTCTCCGATATAATTTCCTTTCGAATTATCACTACAGGAATCATTTTTATAAGTCGTTTTGTTTTTTCACTTTTTTAAAACCATGTATTACAAATAAAATAATTAATCAGTGTGAGGTTACTTATAGGTACATATCGATCGATGACGGTATTATAATGAAAATGAAAGTATCCCTTCATCACAAAATCATTTTTACCTATCGAAGCGCATTATTATGCTGAAGCTTCGAGAAATTATCAAATGTTCAAACAATTAAAACTTAAGTGTTTTCTTATGAAATGTTAAAGTAACTGAAATCGTTGAATAGTAAACTGGTTCTGTATTATTGTTCATATCTCTATACGGTTTCTATATAAAAAAAACTCCGAGGTTTATCGAATACATTCATCTTTAACGAAGTTGATCGTTAACAGAAATAATTTTCTAGTATCTGTTTTATACCTGCAGTTACAGTTTATTCATACATGTACTGATATTATTAATTATTAAGGATAAAAAATATTAAAGTGAATAGGCATGCGTGACCACCATTCATACTATTCTAAGGAAACAATAATAAAGTTTTTAGTTTTATAGATGACTTACGTGCAGTGCATACAGTAAAATAGTGACTACTCAAGCTAAAGTAAGCCATGAGAAAAGTCAATAAGATTCGACTTATGAATGCTATACACTACGATATTGATATTTTACTTTTGAGTAATAACTGATAAATCAATATATATATATATATATATATATATGTTGCCCTCTGGGTATCACACGGCCTAAATGTTCAGAAGGCAAACGTGTCGAGCTTTGTTACACGAATAGACGCATCAGGCGAGTATAGGTTCCATTTACACTGAAAAAAATACGGCGAATTAAGACCGAGTTGACGAATAAGTCATCTTTTTTAGACGATTTAACTCTTAATGCACTAATTACATAGCGTAATTCAACTTTAGAATTAATTCATTTTTTTAGTCTGATTGATGCCATAGACGCTATTATGTGCAAACATATTAATGACCCTGATAAGGAGGCAGAAAAAGTGCACCATATGTATATGAATATAGAGAATACATTAAACAAATATATCTGATAGCTTCTGTACGATTGAGTCGTCAAGGAATAAATAAGAATTCATTTTTTTATTTTCAGTTTAAGCCGATATGCATTTGAAACTGATACTAATTTACAAAACAATCCAGATAATATTTATTTGAAAAAAATCGAAGAAATATTTGCTCGAAGTTTTAGATAAAATATTTTTGCTAAATTTTCTCAACTTGTTCGCGAACTGGAATGTGTTATTGACAAAAATCTTTTTTCATATGGATGCTGCACGAGTATTTATTAATATTCATATTCTATTTTTCAAAATTGAAAAACAATTATCTGAATTTACACTTTTATGGCTTTTAAATCGACTAAATCCAATTATTGAGCAGAGAAAGCAGACATTAACTTCACGTATTGATATTTTACAATTAGATTTATGAACTGTTAAGAGTGCATCCAATTGCTAATGAAGCTACTCAAAGATGCGCTGTTTAAGATACAATTGTACAGGAAATTACAGTTGAAAATGTTATGTAACGATTTTTCGTGAGCTGATCCACTACTTTGACGATTCTTTGTAGGTACTTTTATCCATACAGACATCTATTTAATTCATTTTATTGTTGAACTTTGGAGGACCTGAAGGTTCTAATGTATTTTATTCTGAACGTTATTAATCAAAACGTCATCCAATAGTTTATTTAACATTTGGAGCAGGATCAGTGGAATGCATTTTTCATTGTTGATAATCGGTATATAAATGTATTCCTATCTAGATCTATGTTCATTATTCGTTGGATATTTTTCTTATCTAAAATCAAACATTGATATATAAGCTTGTCTTTATCCACATGAATTGTGAGCATGTCTTTGTTATCAATAAAAAATTGAATCCATTTGCTTGATTAATAATAGAGATATTCAATTTTTTTTCCGATAAAATGGTTTTTGTCTCACGCTATAGGTAGTATGTGATTATGTTTAGTGAAAAGCAACAAAAAAAGCACAATCGCAACATGTTTCAAACGGTCAAATCACTTTGATGTGTATGTTTTCGTCTTTCGAATAGTAGTCTCACTCATTTTATTGGTTAACATCCATTTGAAAGAGTTGTTGCCAATCAATATCTCATAAAATTCTTTCTTATAACTAGTCAATGGTAGAACATAGAGAATAAAATCAAGAATTTGTGGAGTATATGAAAGTAAATAAGAACAATTCAAGTATTTCTATTTTTATCTATGTATAGGTCTAGTTAGACCCACGCATCACCCTCTATATGAAAGAATGAGGATAGCGTACAAGGGTTAATTAGAATATGAATAAATTGTTCAAGATCTTGCACTTTCAGAATACATTTTCATATTTTCTATAAACTATATTTATCCTATTTAAAAAGTTTGCTTTATATTAATATTGAAAAACTACAATAGTATATATATCCTTTTTTTTTTAATAATTTTAAATCGTTTACATTCAATTAAAAAAATTCAATATATAGTAGTAATAGATTGGGTACAGTTGTTAATATTCAATGTGTATATTTTCTCATCCTCTTCTTTTTTTTATTGTAGTATATACGATTACTTGCATAATTATTTTTTTTCTCTTTATAAAGCTGTGTCCTTCATAGGAAAGGAAGAACGAAAAAAGAAATTGCACGCATCAAAAAACAGAATGATCGTTGATTTCTCAACCATAAATATGTAAGAGGACACATGTACTGCTTCATGAAAGATATTTATTTTGTCTGTACGATATTAAGATAAGAAAAAAGTATGTTGTAGAATATCCTTTAAAATATTGTCTCTCAATTCTTTTTTAGATCAATATGACAAACTATTTATGTGAAGAAGGAACTGTATGTAATAATTATCAGTCAGCTATATGTTTACATTGCAATCGTCGATTATGTATATTACATATTGCACAACATAATCAAGTTAATTTTGATAATATTCGAAATCTTTCACGTGAAATTGTATTGGTTACTGAACATATTAATAATGAATATGAAAAAACCAGAGATATATATCAAACTGTTTTAGTGGATCTTGCTGAATGGCGAGCAAAACAAGTAGAAAACATTACACAAGCCTATAATAATTATTTACAACATGTTGAATCGCAACAGGAAGCGTTAAATACACTTCATTATGAGTTAATTAAAAAGCTTGATGATGACGCTCGGAAACCATTAGAAGTTATCCAAGCTCAACAAGCTACCGGTGCTACCGTACTTACTCATATTGAACAAACAATACAGAAAATACGAGATCAGGCTGCACAATTACACTGGAACGTCTTAACTTTGCCATCGGTTGATGTACGATGTAACTTGACAGATACTTCGTCAACATCTTCAAAGGATATAACATTATCGAGTATGATCCGAGTAAAAACTTAAATTAACTTTGTAGTTCCACTATAGTTCATACATCAGGTACTCACCGACCATCCAAAAGATTTTCTATTAACTTCAAGTGGCCATCGCTTCGTTATATATGTCTAGGAAAATATCGTTCGTTTAGACGTCTTGTTGATATGTTTAGTGATGTATCACATATCGTACAAAGCAAGCATGACCTTGATGACTATGTTAAAGTAAGTCAATATATTAATATTCTATTTTTTTAAAGATCATTCTTTTATAATGGAAGAACAACGCCGGTTTTCCGTTACCTGTTTTTGTCTGTTCATATCTAACAGCCTGGTATAGATGCTCTAAAATTGAACATAAATCTATCATTTTAAAAGAATATATGTCAACTATTATGAAACATATTCCGATTGATATTGATAATTATATTGCTTTAGTAGGTATACATGCATTCTTTTATAATCATATAATTTCTGAAAATAAAAGTAAATTAAAGTTTAATTCTTTATTCATAATAAACATATATTTTTATTATTCAATATAGGACAATTAATGACGTTTTTATTACATTTTTTTGTTGATCATCAATGTATTAGTGTACATCAAATATCTCACTGGTATTATAATAAAGATATCAATGCTTATACAGGTTTCGATGGTGCAAAACAAATGACTGCACCATTTATTAACTCATTTTGGACAGATCAATCCAGTAAATATATTCATATTGAAAGATCGTTTATAAGTATATATCACTATTTTAGATTCTAATGTAAAAAAATCAAATCCAATGAATTCTACTGAATTGAAGCATGAAAAAATGTTCTGTATAGATGAAACAGAATGAACTTATTTTAAGACTATATTTTTGTGTAATTGTTTCGTTAAATTACATGTAAAAGTTACAGAAACAGTAACAGATGTGTAAAAATTTTTTTGTTTAAACCAATTATTAATAAATTACATATTCTAATGATGATAGAAAGAAAAAAACATAAGATGACATACAAAATCTAATTAAATAAATAACAATCGACAATAATCTATTTAGATTTACTAGTATATATTAAACTAGAAAATCATCTTTTAACTAATATATCAGTCATTCATCGACGTTTCAAAAAACGACATTGAGATGAATTGAAACTCAGCAGTAGATGATAATAACGAATACAAGTGGAAATTTGCTGTTTTGATTTAAAAGATGTGTACTTTGAAATATTTTACAATCAATTATAGGTATACATTACGTATAATATCAGCAAAAAGTTATGAACTGATTAGTAAAATGATTTAAACTTCTACGAAATCTATACTTATCTAAATTGATTGAAAAATGCCGGTACTTATATACTATTTTCAATCTGTGCAGTAACAACTGAACATATGAAAATGATCATGTGACATTTGTCGAATCGCATTGTATGCTATATTAATAGTAGTAACATTATCGATCACTGAATAATTAAAAAGACGACTTCTTTATTTAAAATTGATAATACATATAGTTCTGTTGTTAAATACATCCGTTTGATAGGAAATGATTAGTTAGGGGTGCAGAATCTTTCGTAAAAACGAAGAATTTTTCAGTATTTAAGTAAAAAAATGAAAAGAGAGAAGAGACTACGATATGTTAGACATACTCTATCCTAATGAATATATCGGATCATTTATATACAAAAAAATATTTTCATCTAAAAAAATTTCCTTATTATTTCCCGATATAAAAATTCTCAAAGTCAATAATTTTTTAAAAATTTTCCTGAACGCGCGTTCCCGCAAATGGGCGTATTCTGCACTCCTGTGATTAGTTTTTGTTTACTTTTTCTTTCTATACATCAGCCGTTACACATCAAATCACATCCTGACATACTGCATATATCTGTCGTTTGTACTACTAGTTATAAAAAGTATATGTAAGAAGAAAAAATGTGATATAGCAATGGCAGATATAGTGAGTAACGCATTTACTTTTCATTCAAGTGAATTATACAAAAAAAAACTCTTACATATCTTCGTCATATTCCACAGATGTAAATGAACAGGAAAGAATACAGATGTAGCGATTGTGAATATGAAATAATCTGTCTTATGTTATTTTCTATAATTCTCGTAGATAATTGTAGTTAATCTATAAAAATAAAGAGTTTTGATCTTAGATTTTGCCTATGAATATAAAATACAATAAATTGACTATAATTTCTCACTAATATATTGTAAACATGAGCACATCTATAGTTTTCTTAATATCAGTGGTATCGATTATAAATTAAATGATAAAATCGAAATTTTGAAAATAGTGGTGGCAATTTCTTTGTTTAATCTAAATGAGTATTATTGCTCATCTTCAGAAGAGATTAATTATTTTATACAATTATGTGTAGTATTAATGAATGTCTAAATTGTTCAAAGAAATAAATAAGAAAGACAATTTTACATAGATTTTGATATAGTAAACAGCTCTAACAAAGAAATATAACTGGATAAACGATTAATATTAACAGTCGCTATCAGTGTTGCCAACTCTTTCGGTTTTTCCAGAAAAATTCCGGATTTTCCCACTTTTTTCCGGATTCTAGATTATTTTTATTGAACTAAATTATATTTATCTGTTAATACTCACTAAAATTTTTTATTTGACAACGGCTCAGTGGCTTATATTTCTTATATATTTAGCTTATTATATTCTGAATTTTGATGTTGATTTTCTTTTGATGTATTGAAACATGTGTTTTTTGAAATAATAAGCGGTATAATTGAGAACAAGATTTAGAGAAACTGATCTTAGCCGATAGAAATTAACTGTTAAAAACCTTTTCGGATTGAACAAAAAAACGTTTCCGGAATTTTCCGGATTTTCACATTAGAATTCCGGTTTTCTGACTATGACAGTTGGTATCACTGGTCGCTATATACTATAGTCGCCTGACGTTGAATTCAGGATAAAAATTTGATTTTTTTTTAATTACGTCGTACGAATATTACACGGTCAAAAAATCGAATTTTCATTCTGCATTTGACGTCAAACTAGTATAGGTGATATATTATAGGCACATGTTACTTTTATTTTTATTTTCTTATATGCATAAAAACTAGTCATCCTTGTAGGCCAATAGATGGTGTTATTTTACTGCTGTATATATTTACTTTTCGATCGTTTCTTCGTATTATATGATAAATCATTATATATCTTTCCTCTTCGATGACCATGATATGCAATAAACACCGAGCGAACGATAGAAGTGATTCATCTTATATAAGCAATATTATAATCGTTATATTGTAAAATTACGTTCATTAGTTCATTATGAGCAGATCAATCTATTGAGAAGAGTTTGAATACTCTCTTCTTTCATTCAACTAAAAGGACTACGTTTCTGTTCAATCATAAAAATTTATTCAAAGTTTTTTCTCCCAGACGAATGAGGTGAGTAAGTAGTTTTTTTTACCTCTGATGATTTGCCTCACTAACGACGGTCATGTCATTTCTTTAATAAGAAAAATATAGGTAAAATGGTTTATAGGCTATTTTGTGTTATTGTCTAGGAATATAAGAAAATTAGAACAATGATAATCAGAGAGAAAATTATCGAAATTTAAAATCGATAATAAAACTACATAACTTAAGTTTTTAAGATACTGAGTGGCAAATTTTCTTGCATTACTCATACTCTGAATGTGAAACATTATATAAATAATCTAATAATATTTTTATTTCTATCAATATTTTGTCATGCATAAAGTTTGTTTTCGTTTTTTCTTATTCTTCTCCTAGATAAGTCGAGGTATATCAATGATATTCAGTTTGTTTTTCTGTATATATCGTCTCATAATGATTTATATATATTTTATTTTTTATTAATATAGTTTTAGAATGACAAATTATAGATGTGAAGAACCATGTTTATGTACCAATTTTCAATCAGCTATTTGTTTACATTGTAATCGTCGATTATGTTTTCAACATATTACTGATCATAATCAAATTCTTTCTGTTAATATTCAAAAACTTTCGAATGAACTTAATATAACTTATCAACATTTGAAAGAAGATACTGAAAAGAATCGTATGCTATATCATGATACACTAACATCATTAACTCAATGGCGAACAGAACAGTTTACTAAAATTGAACAAAGCTATCAACGACAATTGCAATTGATTACATTGCAACAACAAGATGTACAAAATTCTTATAAAAATCTATTCAATAAATTAGAAGTTGATGCTCGAGAACCACTTCGATTATTAGAAAGTCAACCGAATTCTCTTATAAGTATACTTAATCTTGTTGAAAATACAATGAAAGATGTAGAAAAAGATCTTAAGAAGATACATTATACTTTTCCAAAATTATCAATAATGACTTTAAGACAAGATGAATATGAACCAACAATTTCCTTAACTCATCAACCAACAAAAAAAAGAAAAATAACTTCATCAGTATCATTACCAATTACTACTGTTCATTTAAATTTTTGTCGTCCTCTACGACGACTTGTTGAAATGTTTAAATTTATATCACCAGTAGAAGAATCGAAAAATCAAATTAACATTTACATTCGTGTAAGTTAATTAATAATACTTTATGCCTTCTTATCTCTTTTTTATTATTATTATTAGAATCAACGAGGATCTTTTGAATTCGCTAATCTTGTATGTTCATATCTAACAGCTTGGCATAGACACCAGAATATAAACACGAAAGTTGCTTTTCTTAATGCACACTTATCAACTATTCAACAATATTTCTTAAGGCAAAAAACCGATTTTGATATTATTGTTGCTATACAAGGATTTTTTTACGATGCCTTAATGAATGAGTCCAAATACGCATTCCAATCGATATTCAAGAAAAATATTAAAAATGATATACCAGCAGCAGAAATGATGACATTTCTAATACAGTTTTTTCTCAATCATCAACTTATCAATCTAACTACTGTACTTACTTGGTATAATGATAAAACAATGATTTCATATGAAGGATTTGAATTTGTTAAAGATTTAGCTATACCATTTATTAAATCGATTTCAGTACAAAGAACAGGTAAATATAAATATAAATATTATGTCTATTAATTATTTATTCTAGTTGATAATACTCCACCAATTACAAGTGTTATCAATCCGACTGAACATACGCCCAACATACCAATTAAAGATGAAGCATTTTCACCGAATGGACGTTGAAAAAACGAACTAAACTTTTGATTTTTGTTTTTCATTAGAATAAAATCGTTTATATGTTTTGCTATATAAGCATTGAAATAGACAATTCTCTTTTCGATCTATGCATTACATCAAATAGAATAGACAAAATATTTCTACTATAAAAACTCGATTTTTGTTTTTATTGTTTGAATATGAAAAAATCTCCTATAAAAAAGGAATTTAAGTGCTATTAGAATTCATGAAGCATGTCAAAAATGAGGTAGACATGGTACGAGACTTTGATACGTAAGGTAAAGAAGAAGAAGAAAAAGAAAAACAAATAAAAAGAAATACGACACACCGGACTATATCAATATTCATTATAAAAAAAAACTCGATGCTTATTGTCAAGAATTTTGTTTTTTTTACATCAAACCAAACAATGACGATTGATTAGCATACATCATTGGTCGAACGGCTGGATGTGATACAGCTGTATAGGATGTAAATTTTGGTGTTACATTATCACCAGTTATAGTTATAAAAGCACCTTTATTTCCCATTGTATCACAATAATTCGGTGCGGAAAAGATAGTAATACATTTGTCTAAAATAAATTTAAATCTATATAAGAAAAGGATTATTAATAACGATTGTTAATTACCATTATGAGCTAATTCATAGCCTTCTTGTTTAACTTCATGACTACGAACAACATATTCTAAATTATTTAATTTAAGAAAACGTTCCGTTACATCAGGTCCAAATTGAAGACCTATAATAGAAAATTTGTATATAAGACTGAGGAGTATTTTGTTTTTGGGGGGATATTTACCAACGCCACGTTTACTTTCCGATCGTCCATTTTGTGGTTGTGGATCACTCCACAATATTTCAGACATTAGTCCATCTTCAGGTGGTTGTCGAACGCGATCAACAGCGCGAATATCTTTTAATGTAACATCATCCTTACTAAATAGTCCACCGTGCATTACCTACACATTGAAAATAAAAACATTCATGATAGATTTTGATTTGTAATTCTTTAATACATTTGTACTTACAAGAACTTTATTATTAATACAATGTGCTAAGGGTAAATAATTGAAAACTTCCGTAAATAATTGAAACATCTGTACAGTATATTTCGCTTTAACTTCACCTTCAAATCCATACATTTGATTCATTGTTATTGATTCATGATTACCTAAAATAAAAAAAGAAAATCATTTCAAAAATTATCTTATTCAATATTTACCTCGAGCAAGAAAGAAATGATTTGGATAGAGTACTTTAAAGCCAAATAAAGTAAGAATACATTCCATACTAAATGAACCACGATCAACAAAATCACCATTGAATAACTAAACAAATAAAAATTTCTCTTAGATTAATTTATTGCATAAACTTACATAAGGATTCTCATCTGATGGTAATCCATTTAATTTAAAAATATTTAATAAATCATAAAATTGTCCATGAATATCTCCGCAAATAGTAAATTTATGTTTCTGAAAAAGACAATTTAATAATTATAATTTTATAACAAAAACAAACTTACAGGCGGCACAGTTACATCAATTAATGTTGGTAATGATTTGAATATCGAAAGTATTTGTAGAATAATCTAAATGAAAAATTTCTATAACTTAACAAACATATATTTTTTTTCTTCTAAACCTGATAAGCATATTTTTTATGGAGTGTTTTTTGCTTTTCAAAATAAGGTAAAAGTGCTTGCATAAATGTTTTTGTAACACGACCATCACCTTCTAAATGTGGGCCATCATATTCAGTTTCCACAGCTGAAAATATATCACATAAATATATTATTTTACGTGAATAAAAACTACATACGCATAGAACTAAGATCGATTTGATTAGCAACAGATTTTCCTGAATCATCAACAGCGATAGCTTTTTCAAAACGAATACGTGTGACAATTTTTTTACATTCTTCATATTTCAATGTCGCATCTTTATCATTTGGACAAGCTTTTTTTACGTATTCATAATCAGATAATGCTGATGGATATTTTCCTAATGCCATATGAGCAGATGCTCGTCGATAATATGCCTTAAGAAGAAAAAAAAAGAATATTCTTTTATTCAAAATTTGAATAAAATACTTTTATATATTTTGGATCATATTCTAATGCTTTTTTAGCATCGATTAATGCATAACCATACCATTCACGACGAAGATAAGCAAAACTTCGATTCGAATATAAAATTGCATCCGGATGAATTTCAATAGCTTTTGTATAGAGTTCAATTGCTTTCTCATAATCACAATCTATTTTTATAGAATTTTATAGAAAAAAAAAGATTATGAATAAAATTATTTTACTTTTGAATGCTTCATTAGCTTGAGTTTTTATAGTATTAGCTGAATCTTTTTCAGTTGTTGATGTTTGTATATTACTGTCTTCTAATTTTTTAGTTAAATCTGTATCACTTATAGTTGCCATCTGAAAATATCAAAAATAAAGATTTATCTAATTTAGAGAATGTTTAAATAACGTTTTTGTGACCGATAGATTTATTTAACAACGAGATGAATTTTAGATCGAATGAGAAGAAGAATACAGCGAACTCGATTTTATGACACTTTCAAAATCTTTACTATTTTGTATTTTAAATATATTTCTTTCGATATAATGTAATAGACGTGTTGTTCAGCCATTCTTGGTCTTAGTCTTGTAATAATTGAATTACAAATGAATTTTATTCATAATTATTAGTATCAAAAATTTTCAAATTCAATTCTGTGCCTGATTTCATTTATAGAATGGATATTAATCTAGTCTATCTCTATCTAGAAAACAATAATCTAAAACAAAAAAAAACATATTTTTAACCATCACCATATAAACTATCTAACAAGTATCTATTGCAAAACTAAAGATCAATAGGAAGTAGTAGTAGTAGTATTAAAAGAGTCCATAAATTTCTTCAGTTATTGGATCAATATCAATATCATAGAAACATGGACGTGTTGGTAAACCTGGAATAGTTGACATTTCACCAACTAATGGATAAAGAAAACCAGCACCAATACTAGCACGTATATCACGTATAGGTAGAATAAAATTCTTTGGACAACCTTTCAATGATGGATCATGTGAAAGTGATAGATGTGTTTTAGCCATACATATTGGTAAATCATTAAAACCTTGTTGAGTAAATAATTGTATACGTTTTTCAGCCATTTCAGAAAGTTTTATATCATCAGCACCATAGATTTTTTGAGCAATAATACGAATTTTTTCTTCAATAGGTAACTATAAAATATTAAGAAAATTTTTCTAGAGGAAATAATCGATTAAAAAAAGTATTTTACTTGTAGATCATATAAAAATTTAAAATCAGGTTTTTGTAAACATGCTTTTTCAACAGCACGAGCTAAATCAGTTGCTCCACTTCCTCCTATTTAAAATTACAAAAAGAATTAAATATAAAGAAGACTTAGATTTTGACTGGGTGTGGATGTGGGTGGGATGGGTTATGGGTGGGTGCGGGTGTGAGTATAACTATTACATACATCCGTTACCCACACTCACTCTCAAGATTTTTAAAACTATTCCAAAAATACATTCTTTAAAACCTGATGAAAAGATTTTGAGTCCAAGACAAAGTTCATATAGTCTATAAACAAAATTGATATGAAAGTCAAATATCTTTTACCTTTTGCCCAATGATCAGCCATGACAGCATCCGTAGCTCCATTTTCTATAGCAATACGTTTAACCAAATCAATTTCTGCTTGTGTATCCGTTCTATAGTAAATCAGATATGAAAAAAAAACTCATAATCGAAAAGATATTCATCATTACTTAAATCTATTGATTGCAACTACAACGTTTACACCAAAATATTGTGCATTTTGAATTTGTTTAACTAAATTTTGTGTACCACGTTCAAGTAATGGTAAATTTTCTTGTGTATATTCTGGAGGTAATGGTGTACCTGCTTCAACTTTGGGTCCACCACCATGTACTTTTAATGCACGCATTGTTGCAACAAGTACAACACAATTTGGTATCAAACCAGAATAACGACATTTAATATCCATAAATTTTTCACAACCAATATCAAAACCAAAACCAGCTTCAGTTACTAAAATGAAATAGAAAGATAATTAGATTTCCAAACAAATATTGAATGATTTCGATGTAGATTAGTAGTAGTTTTAAGTTTTCCACACACTATGTTATATACTCAAACAAAGTCTTACATTGTTTCTTACCAACGAATTATTAATTTAAGCATTGTCGAAGCTAGAAGATAGTAATTGATTTATAATTTTCAGAAGATACATTTAGCTGGGCTAAACTATATTGTAGTAATGCGTTTTCTATTCAAATATTCGTATAAAAACATGTTTGTTTTTAGCTTGTCATTATCTCGACTAGCTTCACTAAATAAGATATATTTTCTTCATACATACCAATATATCCATCAGCTCCAACTAGTTTTAAGCCTATTTGATCAGCTAAAATCGATGAATTTCCATGTGCAATATTTGCAAATGGTCCTGCATGCACAAGAATAGGTGTGCCTTCCAATGTTTGCATTAATGTTGGTTTAACTAAAGTAGATTTTATTTCTTCTATCTGTTAAATGAATAAAAAAATGACATACTTGCGTCACGCATAAGTACAGCTAATGCTCCACCAACACCAAGATCATCAGCAGTAATAGGTACACCATCTCGACTAGATGCAACAACCATTTTACCTAATCGTTCACGTAAATCACCCAATGAACTTGTTAATGCTAAAACAGCCATTATTTCACTTGCAACAGTTATATCAAAATTTGTTTCTCGTGTAAAATTTTTTTCTGTTGCTGCTTGTCCAATAGTTATTTTACGTAAGAAACGATCTAAATAGAAAATAAACATAAATTTATCTTTTCATTTTTCATAAAATTTCACCATTTGTATCAACAACACGTTGCCATGTTATTGTTGATGGATCAATATTTAAACGAACAAATGCTGTAATTTCATCTGTAGTTAATGTCATTGGATCAGTTTTATTAATTTTTAATTTATTTAAACGTTTTTGTTGAATAGGTGAAAATTTTCGTTTACTATCTATTGTTGGTACAAGACGATTAAATAATTGTTGATCATTTTGAGTATTTTCATGAAACATTTGAGCATCAATTTGTGCTGCTAATAGATTATTTGCAGCTGTTATTGCATGTATATCACCAGTTAAATGTAAATTAAATTCTTCCATAGGAATAACTTGTGAATAACCACCACCCGCTGCGCCACCTTTGATACCTAATTAAAACAAAAAACAATATTTATTGATGATTATAACTAGATAAAAATACTTACCAAATGTTGGTCCTTGACTAGGTTGACGTAAACAACCAATAACATTCTTTTTTAGATGTGCACCAAGTGCTTGACAAAGACCAATTGCTGTTGTACTTTTACCTTCACCTTAAAAAAAAAAAGAATCAAAATGATTTTATCTGAAGCGAGATTTTTATTGCTATTTACCTAATGGTGTTGGTGTTATACCAGATACGACAACATATTTTCCATTTGGTGCATTTCGTAAACGTTCAAGTACGTTAAGTTTTATTTTTGCTTTCTTTGTTCCATATAATTCCAATTCATTATTATGTAAATGAATTTCACGTGCTAATTGTTGAATATCTTTTGGAACTTGTTTTTTTGCAATTTCTAAATCAGATGGAACAGGTGTTTCAAGTGCAAGCGGTAAATAAGTCATCGAATTCCATTGTAATGGAGAATAAGTATTTAAATAACGTTGTGCAGCCGTAAGTGTATTTTGCCTGTGAATAAAGAAAAATAGTTTTCAAAAATTAGATCTTCTTTAATATAGAAAATCTTACATAAGTAAAGCGACTGTCATTGGACCAACACCACCGGGAACAGGAGTTATCCATGAAGCAATACCTTGACATGATTCGAAATCAACATCACCGAATAGACGTGTTTTACCATTATCACCTAAAATTATTCGTAGTTTTAAAATTATAAATCGAATCCGATGTATTAAATACCTTGCATAGATGTAATACCACAATCAATAACTACAGCATTTTCTTTAAGCCATGAACCTTGAATAAATTTTGGTTTACCCAAACAAGCAATAACAATTTCAGCTTGTTTTATCTAAAATGAAAAAAACACAAAATTTTCGTTTTTCTAAAACTTAAGTCTTTTTTTAATATTCATACAATATCTTGAATATTTTTTGTCTTTGAATGACATATTGTTACAGTTGCACTATGATGTTTAAGTAATTCAAACATTGGTGTACCAACTATTTTACTTCTTCCAACAACAACAGCTGTTGCACCTTCAATTTGTGTACCTAATCAAAAAGCAATCTTTAATAGATAATTTTTTTGTTCTTCAATTAAATCTACCTGTTGATTTTATCAATTCTAAACAACCATTTGGTGTACATGGAACAAAACATTTATCTAAATTTCCATGTGATAAAAGTCCTGCATTAAGATCTGATAATCTATTTAAAGAATTTAATATGAAAATAAAAAACTAAACTTTTTCTTTTATCTTTACCCATCAATATCTTTATCTGGTGAAACAGTATTTGCAATACGATTAGCATCAATTGTTTGAACAGAATCAAATGGTAATTGAACAATAATACCATGTATTGTTGGATCATTATTTAAATCTTCAATTTGTTGAACTAACTAGAAGAAAAAATAAATATTATGAAATAGAGAACGACTTTTATTAAACAAACTTGTCGTTCTGTTGTTGAAGAATCTAGACGAACAAGACGAGCATCAATACCAATTTCTTCTGCTGCTTTTAATTTATGTCTTATATAAACATTTGAATCTTCTCGATTACCAACTTGAACAACAGCAAAACCGGGTTTAAAATCATTCTGTTGTTTACGTAAATCATCGATCATTAATCGACATTTATCACGTATATTTCTAAATTATTTATCTAAATATTTAATTGAACAAATCTTTTTTTTTGAACTTACTTGGCAATTTCTTTGCCATCAATAATTCGTGTTGTAGTTGACATATAGGTAAATGTATGTCTGCAACATTTTGATAGATAATGTAAACGAAATAAAATAGACATTGAGAAAAGAAATAGAACAATATCGAACTTCCTTTCATATTTATAAAGTAAGATATGCTATCAATTTTAAATAAGGCACAAAAAAAAGAAATTGAAGATGATAATTGTTAAGTTTTTTTGATCACACTTAGTTTTTTGATAAGCGTACTTTAATAGATAAAAATAGACAAAAAGAAATTGATAATAGTTTTTTCATTACGCTAAAAAATCTCGATTAATAAAAAATCGAAAGGTCAATACGTTTCAATAAAAATCATCATTATTATTTTGCAAAATACGATAAGAAATAATAAACCAAATATTTTAACAAATAACAAACCAATTACAGAATATTAATCCATATTTTAC